TGATTTTATGTAACTATGCAAACATACCCAAATTTCAGGGTACAATCAAGTTAAGTGAAAGACTGGAAGCCTTGTTTGTTGCAGTGGGAAAAGATTTCAACAAATCCTTAAACAAAATGTTATTTTAAAAAATAATGCTGCCTTTCATAGCCATTCGGTATTCTAAAATACTATTTCTTGATTTGCACAAACACGTTATATGTATCCACCATAGGAAATTAAAAACGCATCATTTATTCAGGATATTTTGCTCTGCCCTTATACACAATATCATGTGGCTTCATCCAATATAATCTTTATTTACTTGTTGAGCTCTCTTGCTAGATTACAGCCTAGCTGTTCTCCTGGTTTTTCTAACTGGTATTAAGCCCACATTCCCCAGTTCAACTATAAGAGGAAACTCTGCCTTGAGAGAAGGAGCAAGATAAACAGCGCCCAGCGGCAATGGAAATACTGTTCAAACAAAGCTGTCGTGTCCACACCAAGAACTTGGGTCAGTGTTAACTATGTCAGGGAAACAAGCTGAGACAATTAACTGCATTTTGGATTTTCCGTTTTCTAGAATAGATAACAAAAAAAAAACCAGTTTGCTTAAGTCAGACCTCATGACCAACTGCAGTTGGGTTAACAACAGAAACAGAGGGAGCTATACCAACAGCCTTCTGTGAAAAGTTTGCACAGCATTTTACAGATAAAGTAAATAAGATTCACTCTGACTTGGATGCTGTAGTTGATGCAGGTCCTTTGGATGTAAATTTGGCTCCTGCTTGTTCCATTACAATTGATACTTTTCAGTCTGTGAAGCCTGAGGGTATGGACAGGTTCTTTGGAGGGGTGAAAGCCACCACATGTTTGCTGGACCCTTGCCCTTCCTGGTTTATTCAAGCTATCAGAGGGAGACAGGGTGAATGGGTAACAAGGGTGTTAAACCCTTCCTTGCAGCAAGACAGGCTGCCAGCATGTTTAAAGGAGGCAATTGTATAAATGGCCTGAAAAAGCTCTCCTTAGACCTCTCTGTATTAGACAATTATCAGCCAGTCTCCAATATTCTGTCTTTTGGGGCAAGGCATCAAGAGCATGTGGTGGCTTCTCAACTGTGATTTCTGGATTAAATGGATTCTTTAGATCCATTTCAGTCTGGCTTCAAGGCTGGATATGGAGCAGAGACAGCTTTGGTCATCTTGGTGGATGACCCACTCACTAACTGGACAGGGGAAGTATGTCTCTGTTGGTTCTGCTGGCCCTTCTCAATGGCTTCTGATACCATCAATTATGCACAGTATTCTTCTGGGCTGTGTCTCTGGGATGAGACTTGGATGCTGGAGAACTCTTGTTGGCCTGTGTGTCCCTTACGTATTTAACACATACTGTATATGAAGCTGCTGGAAGAAGTCTGGAGTTTTGGAGTTCAGTGTCACCAGTATGGGATTAGATTCCCCCTGACAATTTAGGCTTGGAGCTTGGATGGACTCTTGGACTCATTCCTGAGCCTAGATGTTCAAGTCTCTGCAGTGGCCAATAGTGCATTTGCACAGCTCCAGCTGGTGCTCCAGCTGTGTGCATTCCTGGAGATGCCTGATTTGGCTATGGTGACATATGCCTTAGTTACATTCTGCTTAGTGCAATGTGCTCTACATGGGCTGCCTTTGAAGACGGTTCAGAAATATCAGCTGGTTTAAAATGCTACAGCCAACTGATGACTGGGGCTAGTTACAGGGAACAGATAACTCTCCTGTTCCAGCTTCACTGGCAGCCTATCAATTTCTGGGTCCTATTCAAAGTGCTAGCTATGACCTATAAAGACCTATACAGACTATTTGAAAAACTGCATCCCGCTATATAAGCCTTCTCAGCTGTTAAGGTCTTTTTTGGGGGGAGGGGGCATCTCTCAGTCCAACCACCTTCAGAGGCACATCTGGTGGGAATGGGAGGGAGGGTTCCCTCCCTTTGTGGCTGCTCCCAGGTTCTAGAATGACCTCCCTAGCTTGCCCCCCCTTTCTCCATCTGGCAACAGGTGGCTATTTTTAGAAAAGTGTTTGATTTCTCGGGCAATTTTTGATCCTGTGTGCTGCTATTAATGTGTGTATTAATGTCTTTTAGGGGTTTTTAAAAGAGTTTTAACAAATTGCTTTTTTGTGTTGAACATTCCTGTGGTTTTAGTTAGATTGTTTTAATAGCTTGTGGGATGCCTCGGGTCCCTTGTTTGGGAGAAAGATAGAATACAAATTATTTTAACAGATAAGTAAAATGTATTAAAGGAAGAGAAAAAAGGGGGTGAGCAGAGAAGACTGCTGACTCATCCTTTTGCACACACTGCTAAATTGTAATGGGAGAGACCTTTTGCTCTCTTGATATTTTGGACTACACCTCACAATCCTCATCTTTGCCCATGCCTGAGGGGGCTTCTGGGAATTGTATGTCAATATATCTGAAGTAGCTGGATACCTCAGTGAGATAAGTATCTGGCTGTAGAGACAGAGGTTGGCAGTTCAATTCCCCACTGTGCCTCCTGGGAGAAGAGAGAGTCTGTGCAGCCGTGCGCAAGCTGCACAGTCCCAGAACGCCAACAGAAGACAGGAATGGGAAACCACCTCTAAGTATTCTATACCCAAGGAACCCTGATAGCACACAATTATTATTAATATAGCCAGAGTTCCCACTGAATTAAAGAGAATAACAGCGTTAAATGTGAACAGACTTTACTCTTGGTCTATACCATGTTGGAATTTGTCAAGTTGATATTTCCTCTGCAGTAAATCAAAAGCAAAGATGCAAAGAGAGAAGAATTGGCAGATTAACTGAGAGAACTACAAGGGAAAGGATCAAGGTGGTAGAATAGTGCAAGCTGCCCAAAGGGACAGGTCTGTCACTAAGATGATGCAATTAACCTCAGGCTGTAGATTTGGGGGTAAAGTTAATAATCAACTATGCATTGTGTTGTTATATTTTCACCACTGAGATATGTGAGAAAACTTTCTTTTGGGGATTTTGGGTTCAACTCTGGCTAGACAGGATTAAAGTGAGCCTTTGAAGAGAAAGTAAATGTTAAGAAGAGACTGAAGCACACTCCTATGCGTTTTTACATAGAAAGTAGTCCCATTATGCTTTATAGGGATTGCACTCCTGTAAATGTGAATAAGATTGAGATGTTTCAGTGTTTATATCCTTTGAGGGATGATAGTCAGCAAAAAGCAAGTACATCCTTAAGCAGATACAGTACTCTTTGGTGCAAGGATGTCATCACTACATTGCAATTCTTTCTCCCACCATAATCTTGATAGCCCACCAACAACAAAGTGGATCCCTCTCACCAGCAAGGAATTTATAGGCAACCTGACTCCAAATATAAACCCCATTCATGTGCAACTGCTAACATGCAAAACATTTGAAGGCAAAATAGAGACAATGTAGGCCAGCCTTCCTTAACTCTCCAGATGTGCTAAAACAGTGGCTCCCAATCTTGGGTCCTCAAATATTCTTGGAATACAGATTCCAGAAATTCTCACCAGCACAGCTAGTGGTGAAGGTTTCTGGAAGTTTTAGTCCAAGAACATTTGGGGACCCATGGTTGGGAACCATTGTGCTAGACTGTACTTTTACCATCCCCAGCCAATCTGCTGTGTGGACAGTGGAGGATGTAGTCTGGAAAAAGGTGATTTAGACCAGTAGAGCAGTGGTTCCCAACGCTGAGTCCTCAGATGTTCTTGGAATACAACTCCCATAAATCCTGGCCAGCATAGCTAGTGGTAAAAGGTTAATTTCAGTGAAAGAACATGTGGGGACCCACAGTTGAGGACCAGCTGCATAGAAACAGAATACATATCCTGAGTTTTATTGCACATATGATAGGCATGTGCAGGATGAGGTCATGCTTACATCTAGTTTTGCTGTTTCCCTTTAGAGTGAGAGAAGGCACTGCAATCAACACAGGAGTGAAGCCCTTTTTTGAGGCAAGAGGTGGCTTCTTGACCTTGTACAATAAACTCCTGATATGTAGTGCTAAAACAAAGATAATGACAGACGTAATTCTGCTTCATGGTGGATGGGCACTCAACGCCTTTCACATATAAAATTTTACCTGCAAGGGTAAAGGGACATTTAGGGGCAAAACCTGTATTACACATGCAGATGATGTATGTGCCTTCTGGAAGTAGGCAAAATTACCTCATCCAACTACAACTCCCATCTTGTCTCCGGCATTTGGAGAGTTGTAGTGTAACCAGTAACTTTGCCCAACTCCAGTTTTACCATGTGTATACATGCAAGGAGAGGCCACAATTAGCAGTGGAATCTCTGTGTGTATTTAACAAATCACTCCCACACATTATCTTCAGGCCTTCCCACCTACACTTGCAAAGATAAAAACACCATCAGCAAGAGACCACCAAAACGGATTCTGCCCAAGAATATAATAAAGACACGCTGGCCAAGCAGGGAACTAAAATGACTCCAAACCCTTGGCTAAATAATATGATCGCTGCTTGGCTGCAATGATTAAGGGTATAATATAGCAGAATATGACAGTCATAAGATCTGGGATGCTGACCGAATTTGATGTCAGTGCTGCTCAGTCAAAGATGAGCATAGTAGCAGAGTCTTCTGCTTGCACCTGCACTGGACACTTACCTGCGACATTCCAGATACTGTATCTCCACAGCAACAGAATGTGAGGATCTTAGCTTGCAAGCCTATATTCACTTTTTCGAGAGAAAATTTCAGTGGGCTCACAAATGAAGTCCGGACCACTGAATACGCTTAAGAGGCGAGTGGAACAACATTCCTCCACCCACCCCGCGTCCCTTTGTAGCCCCATCCCATGAACATGCATTAGGAACTGAATCCCACACAGTTCGGAGAGAACCTCTTTCCAAATAAGGACCTGAATTGTACCCGGGTAGGGGGATCTCTGGAAGCAGCAGTAGCACACGGAACTCTTTTAACAACCTGGAAGAAGGCCTCCCACGCCAACTCTCCCCTGCCCGCCTCCCCCCCAACTTTACCTGTGCTGCAGCCCCACCAGACCCAGCGTGATCACATGGGGCACGTCGAGCTCCGAGGGCCACACGCCGGAGGCAATGCAGCCGAACACGCCGCATTCTTCCCCGATCCCGAGCTCCTCGAATTCCATGGCGCCCCAAAACCAAACACGTGTTTGTTGCTATTGCTGCCGCGACTACTGTTGTTGCTCCCGCCGCCGCCTGGGTGTTTGTGGGGGAGTAAAGAGGAGGAGAAGGAGGAGGTGGCGGCCCCTGAAGCGCCGGCGGCCGCGGTGCGACTCCTTCCCCTGCCCCACCCCTCGCGTCCCTTATTTACATACAGGCAGAGGGGGGGGGCTGCCTGGTTCAACTTTCACACAACGGGGAGTGCTCTCTCTCCTCCCCTCAGTTGCATTTCTTGGGGGATCCCTTTTTCCCCTCTACAGAACTTGGAGGAGGAAAAGAACGCGCCCCTTTTCGGGGGATGCTTTAGATCCCTTCCTTAAAAGCAAGACAGTTCCGTCCCCTCATCCCTCCCCTGCTCGAGTTGCTCGAAACCTTTCCGCTTTAGGCACATTCCGAGAGAAAACCAGCTGAAAGTTTCCCCGGGAGGGTCGCAGAGTTTTTTTTTGGGGGGGGGTTGCATTGCAGACAAAGGGCCGGCGGGGAGGTTAAAGCCTTCCTTTCGCTCCTGGGGGAGCTGCTTTCCTGAGGGCGCGGAGACCCGTGACGGCGAAACCCACCCTCAGATGGGAGAGACGGGAGCTAAGAGTTTGTTCAGCCTTTTTTTCCTCACTGGCCTGGGGTGGGGGGTGGGAGCAAAGGGAAGAAGTTGGTAGAAAAATGCACTGGTGGGAGGGGGGAGAGTTTAGGAGGCGCAGCCCCTGCCCGCGCTGTAGCCATTGGTGGGCGCCGCTCCTCCTCTCCGCCGGCCCCTTCCGCCGCCCCGCGCTTCTTACGCGACTCCTGGGCTGCTCCGGAACCTCGAGAGGAGCGCGCGCGCCCGTGTGTGTGTAGGGGTGTGTGTGCGCTCTCTCGGCCTCCGCCCTCGTGCAGCTTGGTCTTGCAAACTCTGCTTGCCGCTCTCTCCTTTTTCACGTGTTTCCCCTTTCTTTTTTGTGCTTCTAGGCGCCCCCGGCCGCCGTCGCTCCCTTCGCTGCCATGGCTCCTATACGTTCAGGTGAGTGGCTGCCCGAGGTTAGCCCCGAGGGAAGGGGGGCTCCTGCCCTGAAGGAAGACGACGTTCTCCTTCTTTCTGACCCTTAGGAGGGGTTTGCTCACTGTAGCACAAGTAGATTATAGAGCCCTGCGGGGACAGAAAGTGATGTGCCTCTTAAAAGTGGAGGGATAGCTCGATTTGAACGCGCCCCTCCTGCTTTTTAAATGTTCTTTCGGGCAGAAGATTCTTTCGCCTCAGCAGGGGCCGTCCCATAGTATTTCTTCATCTCTATTATACTGGGCTAGATTTTTGTGGGGGTGGGAACCGACCAATCTCTCCAGGTAAAAGTTTGCCCAAGAATAAAAGAGCAATCGGTCTTAATGGTCAAAGGGCTTTACTGTCTTATTCTACTCGATGCAGTGTTTAGATGGGGGAAGGGCTGGTATTTTTTTTCTGCAGAGCTGCCTTTTATGTAATGAACCTTCAGTTTTCACTTCAGATCCCCCCTCCCCGATTGTGTTAAATAACTGGGTAAGAGGCAGGCCCAGCCACACAATTTTCATACAAAATGTCTGGTAAAGAAACAAAAAAGAGCACTGCAATGTCTGTTATAATTTCATATGTGTTTGGGGAGCTCACTGAGAAAAGTGCAAATATTCATAAGATGCAGTGATGTGTCATGCGAATATGATTTGGAGACATGGTAATCTATATGTATTTTGCATGCTTTCTCTGGGGTATGCATATTGTTGGTCTTTGGACTTTTTCAGTGTCCCTGGAAGAAGAGCATCCATTTTATTTGAGCATACATGTGAGGCCTCCCAACTGAAATTGTAGTGTCTGGATTCAGCCTTGATAAGATGGGAGCGAGCATGGTTGGCAAAGTGTAGCTGGGCAATCCATAGCACTCATTTTGATTTGAGAAAACCTATTTGTCTTGTAAATCAACTGTTGTTTGCAAACTGTTTTCAAAGGCAGTCTTTTGTATGACTGAAACTCAATGGACTTGTAACACTCTTTGCTTCTATGGGGCTGTGTGTCTGTAATAAAAGAGTACTGCAAATATAAACTTTACAGAACTGTTTTTATATATAAATATCTATAAAGCAAAGCAACAACAGTCATATAAACACAGCCCAAAACTGGATGCTACAATTTATATAGCCTGAGTTCTTTTCTCAAGCACCACAGCAAGAGTTGCTTGAAGACACAAGGAAGAATGCAAATTTCTCTTTGAAGCAAAAGTCCCAGCTAGATTTATTGTCAGAGGTGGAAGAACCAGAACATAAATTCCAAGTATGCAGCCTTAAAAGTCTTAAATTTAAGTGATAAAGACCTTATCATTCTTCAGGGGGGAATAGCAGTTCCTGCCTTTCTTGCTTTTTTTCTCAACTGAAATCCTCAGTCACAGACTCCTCTTAAGATTTGCTCACCCATTGTGCTGTCCACAGCGGGTTACACTGAAAATGTAAATAAGATCTGCTGAGCGTAAAGCCAACTGTTAGGAGCCTCTTACAGTCATGCCTTGTAGCAAAAAAAGGCCACTCTAAATGCACAGGCCTGAAATGTGTGCTAGAAAATTAATTGAACTGAGACAGCCAGTTTTCATCTGTTTTAAAATGTTAAAAAATAATCAGACTGCAGACAGTAAAGAGATGGTAACTGCAATCCTGGAGACACTCATCTAAGAATGATCAAAAAAAGGGGGGGGGTTACTTCTAAGTAGGCATGTGCAGAATTTCACTGCAATAATTTAAGTTTAATCCTTTATTCTGAATCTACATAGTAGACATGTGAATGCGTTGCACGTGTCAAAGCAGATTGCAAAACAATGTAAGTTTTTCCCCATCTTTCTCCAGAACTTAAACTTGGCAAAAAGATAAACGAGGGAAAAACAAAAGAGGTTTATGAATTGCCAAATCTCCCTGGATGTGTTCTGCTTCAATCAAAAGACCAGATAACCGCTGGAAATGCAGCTAGAAAAGATATCATGGAAGGGAAGGCTGCAATCTCAAATACTACTACAAGCTGTGTGTTTCAGTTGCTTCAGGAAGCTGGTAAGTGGTGGAAGTTGTGGTGTGAATTGGGAATAAGACAAGCAACAAACCCTCATGTGTTAAGTACATGAATGAAAGTGGACAGAGTCTTCTTTTTATTACATGCCTGAACTAAGACTGGTCTTTAGTGTTATAATCTCTAGCTTCGCATGCTAAAAGGATAAGTCAAACAATATGCTCTGTGGGATATAAATCATTTGGAATGTAGCACTCCTGATCAAAATTACATCACTTTATCAGGATGAGCTTCCCAAACTAACTTTGTATAAAAGCTTTGTGATGAAAACTTGGTCTTGAGTATACTTTGTAGTTTAAAAATTAACTTAATTGGAGCCCTCTCTCCTGCTCTAAAAGGAATCCCAATGAGCTCTTCTAAATTGGCTGGTGAACATTTTCTTTCGCCGTTTGTCCATAGACACTTTCCGTGGTCATGTGGCCAGCGCGACTAGACACGGAACACCATTACCTTCCCACCGTGGTGGTACCTACAGTATTTATCTACTGCCACTTTTACATGCTTTCGAACTGTTAGGTTTGCAGGAGCTGGGACGAGCTCAGGTTCTGCAGTTTAACCCACAGCGCCACCACGTCCCATACCATCCAACTTACAGGCACCCTAACAGTGTTCTCCATGAAATATTGATGTTTAAGAAATGATTGTCCCAGTGCAAACCCCCCTCCTCATGGGTTTCCATGGCTGAGTGGGGATTTGAGCCCTAGTTTCCTGAGTTTTAGTTTGTCATTCTCCTGCAATACACTACACTCACTTTTGAATTTCTTTTAGCTTTGCATCTATTTCAGTTAAGTGTTTTTTTTTTAAAAAAACTCCTTGTCCTCTAGGACTCCAGAAGATACCACGTCATTGGTAACTCAAATGACAAAACAGTCATGTAAAAATATGTAACGTTTCACTACTCATCCAAGTAGTTTCTTCAGTCTGAAAAAGCTACTTGGATGAGCAGAGAAACCTTTCAACCTAATAGGAAAGAAGTCCAGTTGCCACGACTCAACTTCTAGATAAACTCACCTGGATGACTGAGAATCTTCACAGATACATTTCATATTAGTGCTACATAATTCTCAGTGTAGTTCTGCACTCACACATTATACTGGTGTCCCTCTGGGGCAAAAGTTGCAATGTAACATCCCTAGTTTTTAACTTCCTCAGAACCCCTTCCTTCACTTTTATCCTTGCAACAAGCCTGTGAGGTAATATAGTTTGACTGATGGCTGTTTGGTTGATATTCTCATCAGCTTCATTGCCGAGTGAGATTTGAAGCCACCTCTTTCTAGTCTTAAGTCAAGAATTCTAGTCACTATATTACACTAGCTCTTGAGCTTCTGTTTCTTCTTGAAGGTGCTGAATATCTTTCTGCTGTTTGGTTATTTAATAGTAGTTGACACATTTGGACGCAAAGTATCATAGTGGTTGCCAAAGAGCTTTGTATAAACCTGCATGGAAGGCATAGAGCATAATACTGTGCATGTTTACCCAGATGAAAGCTGCAGTGAGCACTGCAGAACATATATATGAGTTAATATGCTTGGGCTTGCACAGTAAGATCTAGTTAGCTTTGAAGTTTATTGTGCTCTAATGACAGATGAGGAAAAACAGCATAAATGAGATAATACTTCCAATATTTACAGGAAAATAAATTTTTAAAATGTTTAGGCATAGTTTCTGTAGATTTACATTCCTAATTGTAGTTATATTAGATTCTTAATTTTACAACTCTCCTCCAATTTACCAAACTTCCCTGCCTGATCATTTGGAGGCGATTCTTATTGCAAACAGCTATTTACATTCCCAGAATGGGTTCATATGTAAAAATCAAAGGAATTCATATTGTAAGGATCTCATTACACGTTGCATTGAAGCTATGTCTGAGTCCCATGCTTGGAACTTGCAACAACTGAGAGGACGCATAATCTGAATTGGGACCCTCACACAGGAGGAGGTTTAATTCTCGCTGCATTGTGTTTCTCCTGAAAACTACTTCCTAAACTTTTAACATTGTACTGTTTGTCTTAAAAGCTCTTTTTTGTATCCATTTCGTTTCATGAATTGTTTTTGTACAAATTGCCATGGCCAGCTGAGAAGATGGGAAGAGTTTCTTTTTGGGGGACTACAGTTCTATGATTATTCTTAGAGTTAGCTGGAAAGTAACTTATCCCATTTCCGATCTGATCTGTTTTCTATGATAGATAGAAATATACAGAGTACTGTATATGTTTTGTTCACAACTCTTAATTCTGAAGTGTGTTTCAGTCATGAGACTAAATTATTTTCCTCCCAGGAATCAAAACTGCTTTTGTGAGAAAACATAGTGACACAGCGTTTGTAGCTGCTCACTGTGAAATGATTCCAATTGAGTGGGTTTGTAGAAGAATTGCTACAGGTTCATTTCTGAAAAGAAACCCAGGTGTCGAAGAAGGCTACAGATTTTACCCACCTAAAATCGAAATGTTTTACAAGGTAAGCAATACAGAGTTGTATGACATTGTTATGTAATAGCCTTCGGCATAAATCATCTATTAATACTATTCTTCCTTTTGGAACACTTATCTTTAATTTTCAGTAAAAATGAATTTTTAATAATTCTAAGTTTCTCTTTTTGGAATAGTGAATTTAACAAGAAACTTGGGCACAGAGAAGAATTTAAGAGAAGAACCAAGCACATCAGTGCTCTCAATATAATATAGTCAGAATTGAAATATAAGTCATTATTAAACAGGCTTTTAAAATTTGTTACACAGTTTTGCTTTTTAGCAAAATTTGCACTTGGCCTAAATCAGCTTGTTCACAAACTAGTTTTCTAATTCAAATTTAAGGGAGCAAAGCATAATTAATGGGAATTGTTTAATTAGGGCTCTGTGGTATATAGCTTCAGTTTCAAAGAAAGTGGGAAGAAAATGAAAATTGCAGGTTTGGAGGCTAGGTTTTAAAAAGTCTAAAAGGGGGAGAGATTTACTTGTCTGTTCCTTATCCAGATTGGTAGAGATGCCACCAGGGCTGTAGACACGATTGCCCTCTCCAGCACAGAGCGTCCTGGTTTAATCAGGACCTACGAGCGATGAAGTAATTTAGGAGAAGGCTAGAGCGCAAGTGGAGAAAGAACCCAACGGATTATAATTGGATAGCTGCTAGGGTTGCGACTAACCTTTACCTGGCCAAGATAAAGGCTGCTAGCCGAGTACATCTCGCTGACCGGATAAACAAATCTTCAAACCAGCAGGGGGAGCTTTTCCGTATAGTGCACGATATATCTGGAATTGGTCTAGGTGATGGACCTCCCCCTAGTATCCCACTGGACCAATTCGCAACATTTTTAAAATCTAAAGTGGAGGCCATCCGCCGGGAGCTCTCTCCTTTTTTGAATACAGTGAGTCGAGCAGAGATGTCCAGCACTCTGCCTTGGCCAGTGACTTGATTTCTTTCAGCCTGTGACGCCAGATATTGTGGAAAAAGTGCTTGATCGCTGTTGGTCCACCACCTCATCCCTTGACCCTTGCCCGGCCTGGCTAATCAAAGTAGCCAGGCCTATAACAACTGAATGGGCCATAGCAATAATTAATGGGTCTTTCCTTGAGGGCAGGGTACCTCCCGCCCTCAAGGAGACAATCATTAGGCCCATAAGGAAGAAATCTAGTTTGGCGACGAATGAAATTGGCAACTATAGGCCCGTCACTAATGTTTCTTTCATCAGCAAAGTGGTGGAGAGGGTGGTGGCTGATCAGCTTCAGGCTCATTTGGATGAAACAAATGCCCTGGATCCATTCCAGTCGGGTTTCAGGCCACGCCATGGTACAGAAACGGCATTGGTCACCCTGTATGATGACCTACTGAGGGAGGCTGACAGGGGTAAAACATCTCTGTTGGTCCTCCTCGATATCTCGGTGGCCTTTGATACCGTCGACCACGGTATCCTCCTAAGGAGGCTCTCAGAGTTAGGAATTGGTGGCCTGGCATTTGCTTGGCTCCAGTCCTTCCTCTGGGACCGTCCTCGGAGAGTACAGCTTGGGGAGAGGGTATCAGCCCTGTGGAGCCTCAGTTGTGGGGTTCTGTAGGGTTCAATTATTTCCCCAATAATGTTGAATGAGGCCGCTGGGCAGGGTTATCAGGGGGTGTGGAGCATCGTGCCATCAGTATGCTGATGACACTCAGCTCTAAATCTCCTTTTCACCAACTGCAGTGGATGCCATTCTGTCCCTTCAGCGCTGCTTGGAGTCTGTACTGCAGTGGATGCAGAAAACTGGGCTGAGGCTGAACCCGGTCAAGACGGAGGTCCTGAGGGAGGGTGGCCCCACCATCAGTGGTCTGGGAAACTTTCCTTTGGGGGGGGGGTGACTCTTACCATAAAGAGTGAGTTTTGCAGCTTGGGGATACATCTGGACCCGGCGCTCACCATGGAAACTCAAGTGGCGTCAGTGGTCCGCAATGCCTTTTTTCATTTTTGGTGGCTAGCCGAGCTGCGTCCCTATCTTGATGTTGGGGCACTCACTACCTTGGTACATGCACTTGTAATCTCAAGATTAGACCACTGTAATGCACTCTGTGTGGGGCTACCTTTGAGGTTAATGCGGAAACTCCAAGTGGGGCAGAATGCGGCGACCAGACTCCTTAGTGGAATGAGAAAATATCATCATATCTCTCCCACTCTGGCCGCTTTGCATTGGCTGCCCATTTGGTTCCGTGTTGACTTCAAAGTTTTAATGCACACATATAAAGCCCTAAACAGTTTAGGGCCTTGATACTTGGCGGAATGCCTACACCCACCAAAATCTACCCGTATCACCTGATCAAGTCAGGAGGTGAGGCTGAGGAGCCTGACGCCAAGGGAGGTCCAGAGGGAAAAACCAAGAAAACGGGCCTTCTCGGCAGTAGCTCCTCGCCTCTGGAATAATCTTCCTCCAGAGATCCATGCGGCCCCTTTGCTGGGCATCTTTAAAAACCAATTGAAAACTTGGATATTAAGGCAGGCCTTCCCCTCAGATATTTATTCATTCATTCATTTATTTATTTCCCCTATTTCTTTCCATCTTGAATAACTCTATTATTGATATTTAAATGTTATATTTTATATTATTATTATTATATGTGTTGGAAGCCACCCAGAGTAGTTATTTGACTAGATGGGTGGGGTATAAATGCAATAAACAAACAAACATTTTTACTTCAGGGGAAGACGTGCAATAATGGGGCGGTACATAAGCCAAATCTGAGTTTGTTCTTATGTGGAGTTCCAAAAGCTAAACAGGCAGAGGAAAGTAGCAAAGGATGATGTTGAAGGATTATATAGGGAGCCTAGAGCACAAGGGAAATTCTGCCAGTTCAGTAGAATGGTTGATACGAAGGAAAACCTCCAGAACACAGCCAAACAGCCTTGAAAAACCTACAACCACCATCGGATCCTGGCTGTGAAAGCCTTCAAGACTTCAGTTCAGTAGAACTTCTTTCTAAAGGAGGAAAAACCTGGTTTGTGTGCTCTGTTGTTAAAAGCTTCCTTTTAATTTTTAGGTCCACCATTGCTAATAGAGTAGGTGTCATGTTAATTAAGAAATGATGTATTTGCATTTTTTTAAAGCTCATATCCTCTTGGTTTAGAACTATGTGCCTTAGCGTTATTGAGTATAAATGATTCTTGCTCCTGCTGTTCCAGGATGATGCCGCTAATGATCCACAGTGGTCAGAAGAACAACTCATTGAAGTCAAGTTCTGTTTTGCTGGCCTTGAAATTGGGCGGACTGAAGTTGATATTATGGCCCAGTCTACTCGAGCTATCTTTGAAATACTTGAAAAAGCATGGCAACCCCAGAATTGCACATTAGTGGACTTGAAGGTAGAAAAACATCTTCTAGCACCAGTTTTCATTTTTGAAAGGAATAATAAATTTGTTTTCAATTAGTGTTTCTGTTTTGTGGTATTTTAGGTTGAGTTTGGTGTTAATGTAGCTACAAAAGAGATTGTTCTTGCGGATGTCATTGATAATGACTCTTGGAGATTATGGCCATCTGGAGACAGAAAACAACAGAAGGATAAACAGGTAATTGCTTTGTCTGCAGGTTTTTATCTGTGCTAAGCTCAGTATAAATTTAATAGCAGTTTTTCATGTGAGTGAGTGCCAAAATGGACCTCTACTCTCTTGGGCACCTATCTTTTTTCTCCGCCGCAACTGCATTGTATGACCCCTCTCCATGCAACTTCACAGCCTGGAGTATTCTGACTTTGAAGGGAATTTTCCCCATCCCTGAACTTCATAGGGCCTGAATTGGAGAGGAGAATGAGCCCTGTGAAGCTTTTTTCTCAGAATAAGAACAACTGATTTCATTGCCTGAAAATTATGTTTATTTGCCTGAATGAGTGGCTGTCTATAAACCTCGACCAGTTGTATTTTATTTTTGGCTTTAATGCACAGGCTTAACTTAGTAGGGCATGAAAACTAGGAGGTTGTACCAAGGTTTTCACAGAAAAGGTTAGCTGATTTCATGCTTTTCCCTGGAATATTCATTTTATCAATTCCAAATTTGGGTGTTATTGTACATGCTTCTTTGATATGTTCTGCATGTCCTTCCCAGTCTTGTGTAGTACAGTCACTTCACTGATAACTTAAAATCTATGCAGAACTTTATTTTAATGAAATCAGTCTACTGTGGCCAAACTTTTCTTCTGTGGGTTGAAAACTTAAAAATTTAGGAATACAACTAATATATTTGCTTCCTAAATATGGAAGACAACGTAAGAGTTATCCTACATTCATTATGTTTCATCCATTTCAATGTGCTTTTTAATACAGAGATCATGAATCTATCCAAAGATAGAACATTATATTTCCATGAAAAAATGACACTTTTTATATATGAATCATGATATATGAGGAGCTTGATTCTTCAGATTGAAATATAGTTGATAGCAATGACAGACCTGTTGGAGTGTACATACAGTTAGGTTCAGAAATAATTGGACACTGATATTATTTTCATACTCTGGCTCTGAACGCCACCACAATGGATTTGAAATGAAACAAACGACATGTAATTGAAGTGCAGACTTTCATTTTTAATTCAAGGGTTTGAAAAAAAAATTATATGAAGCATTTAGGAATTGAAATCATTTTCATACACATCCCCCTTATTTCAGGGGCTCAAATGTAATTGGACAAATTAACAATCATAAATAAAAGGTTCATTTTTAAAACTTTGTTGAGAATCCTTTGCAGGCAATGCCTGCTTGAAGTCTGGTATGCACTGACATCACCAAACTCTGGGGTTCCTCCTTTGTTATGCTTTGCCAAGCCTTTACTGCAGCTATCTTTAGTTGTTGTTTATTTGTGGGTCTTTCTGTTTTGTCTTCAGCAAGTGAAATGCATCCTCGATCAAGCTGAGATCAAGTGATTGACTCTGCTGTTGCAGAATACTCCACTTCTTTGACTTAAAAATATATCCTAGGTTGCTTTCTCAGTATATTTTGGGTCATTGTCCATCAGTAAAGTGAAGCACTGTCCAGTGAGCTTCACTGAATTTGGCTGAATCTGAGCACACAATATATTCCTATACACTTCAGAATTCATCCAGCTGCTTCTGTCACACTATCAATAAACACTAGTGACTTAGTGCCATTGGAAGCCATGAATGCCCATGCCATCACACTGCCTTCACCATGTTTTACAGATGATGTCGTATTCTTCAGATCATGAGCCATTCCAACCTTTCTTCATATGTTCTCCAGGCCTTTTCATGTTGCAGAGCTCACCAGTGCATTCTGTTTTTCTCAGAATGTACCAAATTGTTGATCTGGCCACTCTTAATCTTCCTGCTATCTCTTCTCCAATGGTTTTTTTTCCAGCCTATGGATGGCCTGTTTCATTTGGATTGAGAGTTCCTTTGAATGCATGTTATGGGTTCACAGCAACAGCTTCCAAATGTGAATGCCACACCTGGAATCAACTCCAGACCTTTTTCCTGCTTAACTGATGATGAAATAACAAAGGAAAAACCCATACCTGTCCATGAAACAGCTTTTGAGTCAGATATCCAATTACTTTTGGTCCCTTGAGAAAGAGGGATCTACATATTAACCAGCTCTAATTCCTGAAGCCTTCCTCCAATTTGGATGTGAACACCCTCAAATTAAAGCTGATAGACTGCACTTTAATCTATATTCATTATTTAACTGTAACCTACATTTATGCTGGTAAACAGCCAAAATAACAAAGCTTGTGCCCTGTCCAGTTACTACCAAATCTAATTGTATATTTTAATTAAGGTATTTACTGTGTACTGACGGAATTTTTTAAGCACAAATAACAGCATGATGGTCTGTTTGTTGTCCCATGGTAAGAAATATGATAAAAACCAATTGTAAAACATGTTGCTTTTGTCTTGTTTCTCAGCCTTTAGTCTCTACTAGCCGTACTGTTTTTGATGCTGAGGCCAGTTTGCACTGACATCCTTGTGGGCTGAATAAGCATCACATGATTCTTCTAACCACCGTAGATTTTACTTTGCTATCACAGAAGTCTTCTGTAGCCTAAAACCCTAGCTTCTGAATGATGGGGCAACTTTAAGACTAGAATTGCTGACTTCATGAATAATTCTCAAGCTCTGTTATTGTTGCTCTCACATACCGAATTTCTAAATATTAGTACAGGTGAGAATTTTGGAGCGTTGAGGTATGTGTCTCCAGTGTTTGCTTTCTACTTGTTTTTCTAGTCTTACCGTGATCTCAAAGAAGTGACCGCTGAAGCACTGCAGATGGTGAAGAGAAACTTTGAATGGGTGGCTGAAAGAGTGGAGGTATCTGTTACCAAACTACATCAAATAGCTAATTATCTTCCTTCACTGTTTCAAGTACTTTTTAAATTACTTTTTAACTTTTCCTTTTTGCTAGCTGTTGCTAAAACCTCAGAGCCAAGAAAGAGTGGTTGTGCTCATGGGCTCTACTTCAGATCTTGGTCACTGTGAGAAGATCAAAAAGGCCTGTTGTGACTTTGGTATTCCTTGTGAATTAAGAGTGACATCTGCTCACAAAGGACCAGATGAGACACTAAGGATCAAAGCTGAATATGAAGGTAAATAAACTTGTTGTCTCACACTTAGTCCAGTTTCACCAGAGTGGTGCTTACAAGGGCAGCTCCTTCTGGCTGCACATATTTTTAACATACTAGATCAGTACAATGAATGTGAAAATCAGACAAAACTAGCTGGCTTTTCTTAGAGAGGTGTGTGTGGTATTTGACATTATACATGTGGGTATGTGTTATCAGGTGATGGCATTCCTACAGTGTTCGTAGCAGTGGCCGGGAGAAGCAATGGGTTGGGACCCGTTATGTCTGGAAACACTGCATATCCTGTGGTCAACTGTCCTCCACTCTCAGCAGATTGGGGTTCTCAGGATATTTGGTCATCTCTGAGGTTGCCCAGTGGTAAGTTTTTCTTGTCCTTGAGGACTTTGGAACAAAACATTCATTTTCAAAGAGACAACATGCACTTCATGGTGAAAATGTTCACCATTTAATCAGGATTAACTGTTCACTTCCGTTTAAATCATAATGCATACTCTGCTCTTAATTTTTCAATTTCAGCAGGGCTTAGAGCAACTTAACATGCAGAGGATGGCATACAGGAGAATGTCTCTTACCAAGTACTCTGTATGTACCTCAGATGCCATTTTCTGATGTGTTACATTCTGCTTCATGATTAACCAGTAACTTAATATATGGTGCTCTCCTTGTGTGTGTTTTGGTTAGAAATGCTCAGTTAATCTTTTAAAAATATATAACACTAAATTATTTGAATGGACCACTGACACTGAATTTTGACAATAAGCTAAGCAATATCCTGTCAAAGAGTTTGACAGTTCAAGTCTGTTCAGTCATATGAGGGAAAGTCTGCACTGCAGGGTGTATAGTGTGTACATATAGTAATAATGAATGTGCTCTGTTCTCAGATTTCTCAGACTGTTGATAAAATAAATATACCTGTGTAATTCTGTGTAGTTTGTAGCTTATGACATGGAGGAATGAGTTCAGAAAAGAGCAGCCTGATGTAGTGGCTGAAATCTCACTTCCTGGTTTAGCCATCTACCCCAGATACTTCAGATTACAAACGTTTATAGCTGAATCTTTAAATATCTCCATTCTGCGTCACTCTAGGTTCTAGGTGCACAGTACATCTGAATCAAGAATATTAACTAAAATACATAAGACTAGAACAGAGTACAGTACGTTTTAGTAGGACACCAGGAAAACTTGGTACAGTCTTACAATGGCCTCTAGTGGTTGCACATTGAGTATGTTCAAACTCTCATTTGTGAGGATTCAATTAACTTCTTTAAAGTTAGTTATAGTTAACAGTTAGAGTTAAGCAACTATGATAGCCTGCAGTCCTCTTTTGCTTTTCCTTTGTATTCTCCACTGTCTTAACATTGTAGGCTTCTTCAGAGTAAAGATCTCTGCATTTTTCCTGTGGAACCAGTGGTGCTTCTCTTTAATATATTGTTGAGATTTGTAGAATTCTCAATTTTTTCCCTTCTTGCAACAGGTCTTGGCTGTCCTACAATTCTGTCCCCTGAAGGTGCTGCACAGTTTGCTGCTCAGATTTTTGGGCTCAGTAATCACTTGATCTGGGCCAAGCTGCGTTCAAACATGTTGAATACTTGGATCGCCCTGAAGCAGGCTGACAAAAAGATGAGAGAATACATTTCATAGGCGATTTCCTCAACCACATTGCACTGCTGGCAAATCATTTTTAAGGTAAAACCTCTGACCTACTGGGAAGTTCTTCTACGGTTCTTTTGTCATAAAGATGAACAAAGAGACGAGTGTAGGTGAAAGTTTTGTTTCAGTAATGGAAGACTTAAGCTGTAAGAAAAAAGTAAAAGTTAGCAAAAAGGAATTTCATGTAGAATAGTTTTTACTGATCTCTTTTAATGGAACAGAATTGGTTTGCTCTTAGTTTGTAATCCCATAGACAGTGTGTCAACCTGATGATTCTCTTCCAATGTTAATACTTTTCAATCCACACCTTGCATCACTAGGAATAATAGATTTTTAACTAGTTTTCCATTAACAACCCTGTTCTGAAATGTAATTTTGAATGGTATCAACATGCATTAGACAAGATATATTTTGAAATTTTATGATTACACTTTATTGATAAACAAAACTTTCTGTTATAAACAATTGCTGTTTATATAGTGGCAGTTGAAAAGTAATTTAGAGAAAGTGTTTCCTTGTATGTATTGACAGGATAGGTAACACAAAGTAAGTCATTGTACCTGGGAATAAACAGATCTGACCGGTATGTTGCCTTTTTCCTTCAAATTGTAAACTGAGCTTGGAAACACTCAGCTTCACAGATGCACATGTGGTTGCACATTAGTATGTTTCAAGATGTAGATGAGTCTAAAATATGTGTGTATAAACATCCATAGTTTGAAACAGTAGCACTGAACTGTTTGGTTTACTACCTACTCGCTTTACCTTATGCCAGCTTTCTGCAAATTAAGGGACTCAAGGTAGCTCACAGATCATTAAAACAAAAGAATTGACACAACATGCATGAACAATTAAAAAAATTATCAAGTATGGGAATATTATAATCACCATCTACAAACAGATTAAAAATCTGAAAATATTTAAAAACACATTAGAACCGATATATTGGCAGCAAGTGTGGCACATCTAGCTATGTTTAATGTTAAGAGGAGAGAGGAAGCCAACCTAGCCAGCCTCATGGGGCTAGGCATTCTACTATCTGGAAGCAGCCACTACGCAGATCCACAGTTGGATCCACATCAAGGTGATGGGACTGAGGATGATTCCCCCCCCGCCAGAAGATTTTAAGCCCCGAGGATGGATATGTATTAGAGATGGGGGTATTCATATTCGAATATCCCCACACAGTTGGAGTTAACTCCATCCACTCACGCATCCAGTGGTGGTAGCCCCTCGCTTTCTTTCAGTCACTCCAGAGTGCCACTTGGCTAGCCATTCAGCAGCCTTGCAGGGAGATTCATCCTTCCTCCATCTGCCAGGAGTGGCTAGACGATTGGGAAGAGAACAATGAGCAGTGCTGGTGGTGGCGATGGATGTGTGAATGGATAGTCCACCCCAGGGACCGGACTCTGGATATTTGTATACAAATACAGTGGTACCTCGCTAGACGACGATCTCGTAAAATGGTGAATCCACATGATGATGAGGTTTTGTGATTGTTATAGCGATTCGCGAAACAGTCATTCCTATGGGGGATTTTTGCTGGACGATGATTTGGTCCGTGCTTCGCGGACCGTTTGTTTGCAAGACGACAATTTTTACAGCTAATCGGCAAAATAGCTTCCCTGTATTTTGGGACCCATGCTTCACAGGACAGCCATTTTAACAGCCATTTGATTGGCGCTCACAAAATGGTTTCCCTATGGGCGATCTTCGCAGGACAACAATGTATTTTCCCCATTGGAACGCATTAAACAGGTTTCAATGCATTCCAATGGGGAAACGGATTTCGCATGACGATGATTTCACTAAACAGCGATTTCTATGGAATGAATTATCATCGTCATGCGGGGCATCACTGTACCCCCATCTCTAATATGTATCTAAGGACTCACACAGTCCACCAGATGGCCTAGCCCCTGAAATTGGGTAGTGCTTTATAGATTATTACCAGCACTTTGAATTGGGTTTAGAAATGTAACAATGGCCAGTGAAGCTGCTCTAATGGGAATTACATGCTCCCTATAACCAGCCCTAGTCAGCAGTCTGGCTGCAACATTTTGTATCTTCAGACTCATATGCCTAGGATTACCAAACGTTAAACTTTTTTTAAAGTTTTTAGTTTGACACTTCAAGAAGGTGATGCAAAGGTAATACAAAATTGCTGTATCTTGTCAATTCAAGGCATAGGAAGTCACTTGAGATTTACCTTCGTAGAATAACATGGGGCAGGGCAGAGCTACTTTTCCAAATAAGTGCCCAGAACTTGAGATTTTTTTCACCACACCCTGCCTTTCTCGTTTTTCTGAAATTTCTGTGGTTGCTTCAGCTTTGCTTGGAAGTCCTTTCTGAAACAGGGAGAGCTGTCTATAGTCTAGAGCAGTGGTCCCCAACCTTTTCCAAATCGTGGACTAGTTGGGGGTGGGATCTGTGCATGGGGAGCACCCCCACGCTTGTGGGGGACGCTTGCAGATTGGGGGGCCTGCACGCTAGCACATGGGTGAGTGGGGTGTGCTTGCGGAAGGCAGGGCATGCTCACATGCATGTGTGAGGGTGGGCAGACCGTGTGTAGAGGGGAGTGCGTGCGGGAGATGGCGGAAGATCTGTCTCCACGCTGTGGTCCTGCCAAGCCCATGGCCAGGTACCAGGCCATGGACCGGGGGTTGGGGACCACAGGTCTAGAGACATGAGGCGCATGCTGGGGAGGGGAATGTTGTGGGATAGGTTGTGTCTTAATGCTAGCATCCAAAGCCACTTTCTCTCTGCTGAGAGCATTTCTTTTAGAGCAACTCTTAAGCCGCAGTTTTGGCTGGTGTCTTTTTTTTTTTTAATCTTGCTTGGATGAAATATTTTAGTCTGCCCTGGAATGGAAAAAAATCGGGGAGAAAGGGCATGCTTCTTTGCTTCATAAACTTACCAAACAAAAGGGTCTGGTAGAGAAGACAACTTGGACAATAGAGGACTGTGTGAAGTACTACAGGAAGAAAGCTCCTGAAATGGACCCCTGCTGTGTGGACCCTTGTTATGCACCTTCCTAGGAAGCGTGTCTTGTATGAATGACAACAGCAATTTCAGCTGGTACAAAGTTCTGGACCACACCATTAAAAACTTCACATCAACCCAGGACATCTCATTTATTTATTTAAAATATCTTTATCCTGCCTTCCTTCCTAAAAAGGACCCAAGGGGGCTTACATAATTAAAAAGACAATATTTAAAAGCTAAAACATTAAGTATACAAATATTTTAAAAAAAGAATTACACAAGTATTATTATACTAAAAAGGGTAAATAAAATCAGTACTAAAACACATTTAAAACAACAGAGCCCAACAGTCCATTTAAATCACACCTCTCAGACCATCAGTCATTAAGGAAAAGCCTGCCTGAAGAGAAAGGCCTTTGCCTGCTTGCGGAACAACAGCAAAGATGGGGCCAGCCTGGTTTCCTGTGTGAGAGAGCTCCAGTGTGAGGGAGGGAGCAGCAACAGTGAAGGCCCTCTCCTGTGTGTCCTCCAAACGTCCCATCTAATCAGTTACTTAGTCAAAACTATTGGAAGTGAATATGAATAAATCAAGATATTTAATGAATTGTATACTTTACAAATATCACATGCTTATTCTAAAAGTACAGTGCAGTGTTCAGTAGAAATAGTCACCCTCTCCCTTAAGTATACTACTTAAGAAATCGCAATCTCAGATAGGCAATTGTAAGGAAAATGACTGTCATGCATACAAGAGCAAGCTAATACTTCCAGAAGCCCCAAGGAATGGCAAGGATGCTTTTAATCTCCAGAGCATCTAATTAAAACAGGTCAAAAGTTAGCCAAACATCTATTAGAAATGCACTGGGCTTAATTCATCTTATTTTGCTGTAACCTAGAGCAATTCAAGATAATGAATAGATGGAAGACATTATTTGTAGTCAGTCCAGAATGCTAGACCTCTATAGAACAGAAGGTAGAGCTTCCCCCCCCCCCGCCCCACTCCACAACTATCCCATTTCTGGAACCTCTTCTCTCCTCACTTTTGCTTTTGCTTTTTTTAAGAGATAAATTATAAACCCTATTTCATGCTACAGCTGATATATCCCCAGCCCAGTCCCAATACTGTTTTATCTTATCTCCCTCTAACTCAGGTGGGCTGGAAGAAAGAATATGGCTAAAAAAGGATATTTGTTAAGAGCAGTAGTGAATACACCCTCCAGCAGTAAAGGAAGGAGCATGAACTTGAAACTTGGAAGGATTTATAAAGTGGGAAGTTGGAATTGGGTTTGAATTCAGTGCAGTTTCAGTTAGCCTAGGGTCAGCCGAACATCTGCTACCTTAGGTAGCTAGGATTTTACTCTAGAGCTTTATTCCCAATCAAGAATAACAGTTTATCATCATCATCATCATCATCATCTGACCATATGGATCATTGAGCCCATCTCTATTCAAGGAGGCCCAGTGGGGAATTGAACTCTCTACCTCTGGCTCTGCAGCTAGATACCTAAAACACTGAGCTATCCAGTAATTTAATGAACATCAGGGAAGTGCTTGTACTTTATTTTTGTAAGGAAGTTACAAAGTTACATCTGAATGGTCCTTCTGTGGTCAGTAGTAATACTTTTACTTTTATTAGACTTGTACCCCTCCCCCCTAGACAAAGTCTACTCGGGGCGGCTTACATACATAATAAAAAGACAACAATATAACAGACATAATAAAATCCTACAAAAACTCAAACTTTAACACATTTCTAAAAAACATTGCCAAGATGAGATAGATCAGTAAAGAAAGAGTAGATCAGTTAATTGACTGGAGGGAAGGCCTGCCTAAAGAGCCAAGTTTTTAAATGGCTTTTAGAAACGCCCAGCGAGGGAGCCAGATGGATTTCAGTTGGGAGGGTGTTCCAGAGCCGAGGGGCCACTGCCAAGAAGGCCCAGTTTCTTGTTCTTTCCTTCTGGGCCTCTCTCAGCGTTAGGCCCCTCAGCCCCCCCTGCTGGCTATGTCAAGTGATTCGGGTAGATCTAGGCGGGAGAAGACGATCTGCCAAGTATCGAGATCCCAAACCGTTTAGGGCTTTGTACATCATCATTAGCACTTTGAAATCACTGCGGAAATGGATGGGCGACCAGTGCAAAGCAGCCAGAGTGGGGGAGATATGCTAATGTTTTCTCCCCCCACTAAGAAGCCTGGCTACCGCATTCTGCACCATTTGAAGTTTCCGCATCAATCTCAAAGGCAGCCCCACGTAGAGCGCATTACAATGGTCTTATCTCGAGATTACGAGCGCAGGGACAAGAGTAGTGAGGGCACAATCATCACAATATAACAACTAGTTATTGTACATATACAATAAAAGTGAAGGTAAATTATAGTTATTAGTCGACAAGGAAGAACAGTTGAATTCATGCATTTTCTATTTAGCTTGCTAAATAATGCAACAGTTTGCAATGTAATTTTACATTGTAAGTGGTCTAGGAGTGAGGCACGCCACATTGACTGCTTTTATCCTGTCCTGGGGGGAAAAAGTTGAGCACAGTAAATGTATTGATTTTCAAAGCCTATGAAGACAGATAAACAACTGAATTACTTGCTTATATA